CAGGGCCAAGCAGCAGGCGAAAATGGCTGAATATTGCCGGAATATTTTTGGGGACGCGCTGCTCATCGAGCCCCTGGAGAAGTATCCGGTGAGTTTGGGGGGGCCGGGGTGGGTTTGGGGGGAGGACAGGGGTGTTTTGGGGTGCCTGAGCCCTGCTCCCTGCTGCACCCCAGGGTGACAGTGATGTTTTGGGGGGGCTGGGGCAGGCTTAGGGGTGCAGGGTGGGTTTAGGGTGCGGGGAAGCACTGGAGGAGGTTTAGGAGTGGATTTTAGAGGGTGCAGGATGATTTTGGGGGGCACAGGGTGGATTTTGGGGGTGCAGCAGTGAGTTTTGGGGTGCCGGGATGGGTTTGGGCAGATGGTAGGGGTGTTTTGGGGTGCCTGAACCTTGCACCTTCCAGTGCCATCCTGTGCCCCCCAAATGGGTGGATGATGTAGGATTTGGGGGTTCAGGGAGTGGTCTGTGGGTGCTAGGGTGACTTTTGGGAGGCACAGGGGGGATTTTGGGGTGCAGATATGATTTTGGGGGTGCAGGGTGGGAGTTTTGGGGTACCTCAATCCTGCATCCTGGGGTTGGTGGTGGGATCTGGGGGTGCTGGGGAGGATCTGGGGGTGCTAGGGTAAGTTTGGGGGCACAGAGTGTATTTGAGGGGTGCAGGGTGGGATTTGGAGGTGCGGGAAGGGAATTTAGGAGGCACTGGGTGGGTTGGGGGTGCAGGGGGGATTTAGGGAGTGCAGAGATGCCTTTTCGGGGCGTGAGAAGGAGTTTTGGGGTATGGAGGGAGTGTTTTGGCATACCTGAACCCTTCACCCTGGGGTTGGGGGTGGGATTTGGGGGTGTAGAGGAGGATCTGTGGGTGCCAGGGTGGATTTTGGGGTGCAAAGCGTGGATTTGGGGGGCACTAGATGGATTTGGGAGGTGCTGGTGGGATTTGGGGGTGTAGAGGAGGATCTGTGGGTGCCAGGGTGGATTTTGGGGTGCACAGGGTGGATTTGGGGGGCACTAGATGGATTTGGGAGGTGCT